TGTTTAGGCTGGCAAAGTAGAAGACAGGTAATGTGTCATACATATTACATGACAGAAGGTAAATGCTAGTTAGAAGAGGTTATTCAAGTGATAACATTGACACACCAACAAATTCATGGTAACTTAAAGCCATTTTAGACTGGAAGAGGCTCTTAATTTTTAAAGCCCCGGGAATTGTCTGAAGCGAATCAGTTTTATTTAGCATTTAACACAGAGGAAATACATATACAAGCAGCAGCAGTAATTAAACTTTCAAGAGTAGTTACAAGTAAAACTGAAATCACAGATGATAAGCTCAGTTTGTTAAACACAGCTCATCACTTAAAGAAATATTAAGATGCATGTCATGGACCCAGAGTAATCCGATGTAGATGTTAGTTGTTTGAGCAGTTCCATAATTAAAACCAGACTTTTCTGATAGCTGTGGCTGTGTCCACACTCCTTTGAAGTGTTTGACCTTGAAAAATATTTGCTGCACTAAATGGCCACAGTCACACATGGCATGTTTTGGAGTTGTGGCAAGAGGAGCTCACCGAGGGCACACACAGCCCACAGCCTGATCCAGGGGCAGCGACTGCTCTGAGCCCAGACAACCAGTTTGATTTTTGGATATGCTGAACATCCTCTCTGCTTGCATTTACATTCAGAGACGCTTCTGACAAAGTAAATCATCAGTTTTCCTGCTCTCACCAGTCATTTTTACAGTGGCACTTGGCAAAGATGTGTTCTCAGCTGAGATTTCACACCATTAGTCATGTTGTTGATTCAGCCACTCATCCCGAAGCCTGGGCTATGTCTCCTATCAGCTTCTGCCTTGCATATCCTTTTCTTTGAATTATTGCTGGTAGCACTGTGTTGAAATAAGCCTGTGCACATAGAACGTGTTTTATACTAACATACATATTTGCTTATTTTGCTAAAGACCTTCAGGAATAATGTTTAATTTAAGAAAATACTGTATTAAAGTGGTACTTGCCACTGAAAACACTGGGACTTTCCCAACAGACCATTCAGCTGTATGAGACTAAGGTACTATGGGATCCTTCCCTTAGCATGGGAAAGATGTAAAAGAAGCCTTAAGCAGTTTAAGCCCAGTTCAAAATGAGACTCACTACTACACCACATCCATAGTGTTGTTTATAGAATTAAAAAAAACTATTAAAATCAGAACTATAAGGGCTCAAAGTCAGTGAAACCACTCTTGAAGATTTAATCATTGCATATATTTGGAACACTGACATTATTAGACTTACGAGCATCTATTGTTAGAATTACAACTTCAGTCATACCTAAACTAAAACCTTATAGAAATACTCTTTAAAATCTTAAAGCCATGTAGCAAATGGATTTGAAATTGGGAAGGTATAATTCTGTTTGGGATAATTTTTATTTTTTTTTTTAAAAAAAAGGTCTCAAAACCAAGTTTTCTTCTTAAATTTGACAAGAAAATGGCAAAATGTGTTAAAAATACTATTCTGGTTAGTACTTTGTTCCACTTTATTTTCTGTTATGTTCTGTTTTATATGGTACATGATAAAGCACAGTCTGCACAAAGAAACTCAGTTGCAGGGACCTTGGTTTTAAGTGGGAAGCTGAGGCTTTCTGAGAAACTGCAAAGAGTGATCTCTGGTATCTTCTCCTGAATGAAAAAGAACATGTCTCTTCTGACGTGTGTTCTTGCTGTCTGCTGACCTCAGCATTTGAGAATGTTTCAGAATGGGACAGGACTGAATTAAGAGAACTTGGACGAGTAAATCCTCCTGTGGCTCTTTAGGAAGTCATAATCTGCAGAAGGACTTCAGTTGCAAGGAGTCTCTTCTACTTAGAAGCCAAAAAGGGGAAATTAAAAGCCCCTATCACACACAGCTCGCTGTCTGATTTTTCCCCTCATGTGCAGCCAGGTTTCTCTGAGGAAAAAATCTTTAGTGATAATTGCTATTTTCCATAGCAGTGCAAGAATTTTGGGAACAGATGCTGACTGATTCCGCTCTGTGCAGTTGGACTGCCAAGTTATGAAATGTTTGATGTACAAGCGGAGTGTGAATAAAGGTTTTATTACTTTGAACAAGACATCTCGGCTCAAAATTCCCTTGCGTACATTTGCGTGGATATTAACGACCTGTTAGTTAAATGTAGATGTAAAAATGTCAGATGGACTCAAATGGATCAAATAATATCCCTTCTCAGCTTTGCCCTTTAAATGTTTTATGGTTCCTATCCCTGGGCTTCCCTCCTCTTCTCCTCTTGTGTTTAACTGGTTGTTTCATGGTCACCTTTTTAAATACAAATAAACCCACAAATCAGCAGCTGCTTTTATTGTCATTTGCATCAACAGAGTCGTTGTCTCTGCTTTCATAGATGAAGGAATAGTTTCTAAATGGGATGTGTGCAGAACTCCTTATGTTCCTCTTTAAGATGATATCTCTGAAAAATATCAAATTTTCAGATATGCTAGGAGAAATTTGAATTAATCCTCTTTAGGTCTGTCTCAAGTCTTAAAATACTACTGTTGTTAGTAGTATTTTACCTGTCTTTCATTTTTGTAATAAAAGCTTTATCACTTAATCTGACAGTGGTTAAAAAAATGAGTGATATGACCAGTTTTTAAATTTTCTTACGTTCTTTTTCTCTTCTCTCATGGTTTTGTAAGTGAGGACAAACAGGAAAGGCGAGTATGAAGAACTGTGCGTTTCAGGAATGGAACTTGAATGTGTTTAAATACATTGAAAGAGAAGATGAATTTCAGCGTTTGATGTTACACCACTGTACAGTTTCCAACAAGATCCGTCTACTAATCATGGTATTAAGCAGCTGTGTGGCATTTCAGAAATGATAACTAATGCTAGCAATGAAGCAGTGAGCTCCCAGCTTGCTGCCTCTCTGGTGCTGCAGTGCGAGTGGGATCCGGCCCAAGGCAGTGCTGCTGAGCAAGTGAAGTTACAACAGCACTGGCTTTTGTTCTTCTTGTCACTGCAGCTTCCAAAGGCTGTAAAGTTCTCCTGTGCTGCTGATCCTTCTCCTAATATTGTTGTGTGATACTGTAATTGTGCAGGAGTTGTGTCAGCACCCTCCAAGCCAACATCTGGAAACTGTTAATTCTTCACAGAGCACGGGATGGCACAGACACAGCTGGTGCATCTTGCAGCGGTATCTTAAATTCTTGTGAGAGGATTTGTGCAAGACCAGTTGTGTCTGGTTAGTACGTATTTTCCACAGAAATTAGGGAAGCTCACTTGAAAAGTCAAGGTGAACTGTAGCTTTTCATTACTGCTTTTTTATCTGGACTCTTTCTTTGTTTTAATAATATCAATACTGGCAACACTCATCAAGCTCCTTTGATTCTCATGGGTCCACTAAGAGCTGGGACTGTTCAGCATGGAGGAAAGTGCAGAAGACAAAAGCAGAAGTGATCTTGCCTTTTAATTTATTTTTTCCCCCAGAATGCCTGCAGCTATGATTTTCCACTCAGTAAAGATTTATGACCTAAAGGAACGAAGAGTAGGCAGATGCTCAGAGAACAAGAGATAGGGATCTAGGAAGATTTTAAGGCCTGAAGCTCAAGGCAAACTAAAATCCATCACAAACAGATGAACAATTAGCTGCTTAGCTGTGTTCTGATGAGATTTCCGAGGGCTCAGAGAATTCTTGGTGGTTCAGAAAGAGAACTTAACCTTCTCCTAACATGCCTCATGTTCTGTCAGCTGTGCAGAGGCAATGGAAAACCTTTGTCAAAACAGATGGCAGGGTTAGCCCCCCGCCACTGAATAAAAATGGGAACTTCAAGGTCCAGTTAATGACTGGAGAGCCAAGAAGCATTTGGAAAGTTAGTTTAATATTGAATACACCCCAAAGAATACACTGTTACAATTCCAGGACTTCTTGGCTATGGCCAAACTCTGGATACTGCAAGAATAGTCATTTCCCAGCTCACGCTTCCAGCCAGAACAAGGAACTGCTGAGGTGCACGAAAAATAAGATGTAGCACTTAACATGGGTTTAGGGCTTTGAAAAAAGACATGTTCAACAGCTGGATCAGTCCAGCAGAATATGTTTTTGCCCAGTGCTTCCTGATAATCTACTATGCCATTCAATTGCTTTTCATATACTAAAACAAATATTATGTTAAAAGCAATCATGTGCATAAAGTATACCAAGAAACGACATGCAAAAATATCTGGTTCCTCTATTAAAAACATGCTGGCATGTCACACTGACGAAAGTTTCACAGAACAGTTTGGTAAAATGTGGAAACTATGATCTGTGTAGCTGAAAGGGTTTCAGATGCTGGTGGCATGACTACTAAAAGCTAAACAAAGTCACAGAGATGTTGCTTTACGTGCATCCAATGAAACAGATACTGGGTGCCAGTTAATGCCGATTAATAACGTTGCGCTGATTAATAATGAAGAATAGTCTTGCTATGATCTAAACAATGCAGATCTTACTTGCCTGAGTTTGGAATAAGAACATAAAGAAAGCTCCTACAAAGTGTTTTCAGTAGTGATCAGTGCTTTATATCAACCCTAATCAAGATCCTAGTTGTTTACTCATAACTGTAAAGGTCTGCAAAGGTATTTTTTTTCCCATGGAATGGGTCCAATGGAAGGGCAGTGCTCCTCCCTGCAATGCAGTAGGTGCAATCTTACACTGCTCCATGTCTGTCTCTACCTTTGCACCTTTTGCCTGTACATTAGGAATTAAGCATGGAAGACCAGAAGTGTAGTGCTGTTGGAAACATAACTGACCTCTCAGTCTTGCACACAAGTGCCTGTAATCAGGTTCAGAACGTCACTTCCCAGTCGTGTCCTGCTGCACTCCCTTCTTCCTTCTGCAGGGAACGCACAGCCTCCACTTAAAATCAAGGGCAAGGGCTGAAAGATAACTGTGGTGCCTGATAATTGTCAGACTACCCCTATTTGTTGTCCTCAGCTTAACATAAATGACTTCCTAAGGACTAGTGAAGGCTACCAGACCTACTCTACTTCTTTTTTTCCTTCTAGAATTTCACGAACCTGCTGGATGGATGTGAGGAGCTAAAGCCAGGTTGCTGTTAACTATATCTTAAGGTAAGCTATTAAACACCCAGTGTTATTGCTTGTTTTGTTTGTTTGGGGTTTTGAAGAAGCATTCACATGTACAAGGAAGCTGTGGGAGCTAATCATTAGTTTCTAAGGATCTTGAGGATCTTCTTGACAGATCCCAGCTTGCTGTGGCAGCTCTCTCGAGGCACACATTTCGGTGCCTCCTTTCTTGACAGTACTTGGGATTAATTTAATCTCCTGTTACCTGAATATCTCTATAGACAAGAATCTATCTTGAAGGAAATGGCTGCAGAGATCCAAACTGAATTATGGTTGCCACATTTGTTTACAGAGATGGGGTGTTTTTGTAGCTGAGATTTTTCACTCAGTGTTAGTTTTGATAGATTGACACAAGCAAAAGTCATTCCTTAACTGAAGTATTTGGAAACAGTATAAGGGAATAAAAACAGATGTACAAAACTAGAAAACAACTCTTTTAAACATATCCATCATTTAAAACAGGAAACATCTCTAAGTGAATTGCGTTTTCTGAAGTCTGACTAAGGACAAAGGTATCTCTTCTTGTTTTTGTGAATGTGTTCAGTACTGTACAAACAAAAGAAATGCTCTTTTCCCTCAATACCTCTACAAACATACATTCTACCACTTTAATCTTGCAGTGACAGTAATGCAACATTTTATTTCCTGATTTGTTGTGGCTATTCAACCTATGAGCTCGGATCATTTTGTTAAAACACAATTAAAATTTAGCAAGTTGCCTAGTTTACCCTCCTAGTCAAATTTGTCCTCATTTGGCAGGGCTCCTTTCTAATTTTGACTTATTAAATTCTGTGAGAAAGATCAAAGGTGGCCTCCTGTTTCTCATTACACAGGATCAACGGATCAGATAATTCAAGGTCTGATAAAATGGCACAGGGAATTCAGCTGTGTGCAGCATTACTGTTATCAGGCCATTTTAAAGTAAGAGTTAAATTCCCAATTCTTTCGTAAGCAGCATCAATGTTATGCTTAGCAAGTACCTCTTTCCTGTAGAACAGGGTTTTATTTTTGTTTGGAGTTTTAAAATGTTCCATGTCATTTTAGGTTGGTAAGTGGTGTGATTTACTGACTGTGCTCGATGGATTGTATTGGCATCCCGGGACGACTGCACTGGAGCGTTCCTCCCTAAAATACAGCCAGTTCTGAGAAAACAGCACTATTCTTGTGAAAACAGCGTTTATATATTTCTCTTGCATGTTTATCCTCAGCATCATCTTACTGGGAACTTGTTTAACCTGCCAAAAACCCTTCTGCACTCTGACTGCAAACCGTTCTGCAGCCCAGACTTGTCATGCAAACGCCGCATGACTTCAGGTAGGTAGAGAACTTCAGTCCTCTGAGCACGTTATCCCCCCCTTATGACTGCTGCACACTCAAAGCACTGCTCCCTCTCTGGCCCTGTCATCTGTCAGGCTGCACAACTTTGATCTAGGCAGTTTGCTTCTGGTCTTACCTCAGTGTTCACAACCTCATCTCGCTGAGAAGTCTTACCCAGGCGCCTTATCCTGAAAACCTGGGGCTTTCTATTTGTTTGATTAACTCCCAGGGCTTGCAAGCGATCCAGCTCTTGCTCAGTCGGTGCTCAGAAGGCTGGTGCATGCCTCTGCACTGCTTGGGTTTTCCTTAATCAACATATGGACTATAATATATTGTTTGTTTGGAATCTGATGTCATGGGAAAAAGTGTTGCTTCGGTCAGTATGGAAACTTGCCCAGATACGTTCAAGTTGTTTCTTCCTTGACTGTAGTGTCTGCTTGAAACCTTTCACTTGCCTTCTAACGGTTATTCCTGCTCATCCACAGGCTGTTTCCAGTCCAAATATAGTGCTACTTGATTGAAAAAGTCCAAGAAGCAGTTCTCTTTTTGGCACATGTTTAACAATCCCCACTAAATCCCTTCTGAAATTCCGTGGTCCGGTTTGTCACAGAAGGTCACAGGCTTGCTAAGGCTGTCCCTCCGGACATTTCAGCGACTCCTGCGTCTGCACAGCTACAAAAACTCTGCTGAAATCTGGAATGTTTTTCAAACCCTTTTCTCCCCTCCCTCTGAGGTCGCTGTGAGGAAGCAGTGACCGAGGGTATCCTTGTGAAACTCCTGTTGACCCGTGATCTGGAATGTGCAGCCGGTTCAGGGCTGTGCCCTGCATTGGGGTCTTGTGTTTGGGGTTTGTTTTTTGTACTGAAGAAGCCTTTCAGTTGATATTTGAGAATGACTTTAAAAGCACGGCTAATAAAGTGATTTTGTTTGCTTGGCTGCTTAACCAAAGACTATTAGTCAGGGCAAACTAATGTAACTCCACTGATATTAATAGAACTCAGATACAATAATTGGAGAACAAGCCCTTAAATTCTAGGGAAATTATTACACAGGCTGAGTTTAAAAAGCTCTAATGGTGTCTAATTATGTTATGAGTCTTTAATACCCACTAATTTCTAATTAGCTTTTCCTTTCTTGTCAGCTTTTTCTTTTATACCTTTCTTGTTGATGTCATAGTTGTACTGTGAGAAAACAAGAACTCTGTTCAAGATAAACCTGCCCTGAGCTGTGCCTTCAGATGTGCGGTACCTGCTCGGGACAAGAGGCTCAGCAGCCCTCAGGGCTTGCATGTTCCTCTTGGAACATTCAGAAAATCAACATGGAACCCTTTCTGTCTTTTGAATGCCAGCTGGGATTTTGCTGTAACTCTTAACCCAGCTGATCAGGAAGGGATTTTCCTGGGGACAAAGATACCGTTCGAACTTGAGGGTTGTCTCGCTGCCAGATTTCAAGCTCCTCTTACAAATTGTTACGGCTCCTCAGAAAAGAGATAAAAAATATGAATTTTGGCAAAACCATCCTTCACTAAGCTTGTTCCAAAGGTGGCTGAACTATTTTCTATAAAACTTTAAAAATAAATAAATTAAAACCAAAGAAACCTGTGCGGACTAAGATATCCCAGCTTTTCTCAGGCAATACTCGCCAGAGAGGAGACGTGTCATTTCACTAAAGAATTAAAACCATTCTTATATATTATTGAAATAAAGCATACTGTAGTATATAAAGCACTTTGAATTTGAACTCTATAGGGAACTAGGTCATAAAACAAACACAGAGACCTTGTGGAAGTCAGTCTGTTCTGGACACCCTTAAGTTGCAATGAAGAAGATGGCAAAACGTAATTAATCCACAAATGGACTCTAAATAAACAACTACTTGAACACAATCTTCCTTTTATTTGGGAGCTAGGACAGTGCTTTTTGCTACCTTGCCTAATCTCTTGCGTTTCCAGGCCATCTATCAACACAGTCTCTGTTTTCCCCTTAGCTGCTCCTATGGATAATATGATGGCGGAGAAACCAGGAGAGAGGAGGAGAATATATGGACTATTGGGACACCTTTGTGGCATTCCGTGGGTTTAGCTCAGAAATAAGTACCTGGCCCTTGGGAAGAACAGTTGGAAGTGACAAATGTGCACGAAGTCTGATACGTTATGTCCTGAGATTTCTTCTTAGTTACTGTTCTCTATGACCAGTGTTTTTAAAACAGTGGAGACGATATCCAGGATATTTTCGCTATTTATAATTCCCATTGTTGCAGCTCTCTGGGGATGATTAGATCGGATGACTTCAGTGGTGTGATAGCTATTGATATAAATAACTTTCCAGAAGATTTCCTTATGACTTTAGAACAAATTCACTGGCAACAAAAACATTTCTGAAGGAGTTTAGTTACCTGGCTATTTTCTGAAAACCACACCAGGCACTGATCTGCATAAAGAGGAGATAAAAACCTTTAAAAGGTAATATTTGAGTGCCTCAGGTTTTAATTTCAAAAAATCAATTCTCAAACACCTAGGTCCCGTTTTCAGGAGTGTCAGGATCCTCAGCTTCTCAAGCACTTCTGAATATTGTACTTTCTGAGAAGTTTAGAGAAAAAGGAATAAATGCTCACCTAGATGAAAGCAAAAATAAACTGTAGGTATTCAGCAGTGATCAGAAACAGTGGAGTTCAATGGTTGCTGGGGAAATCTGGCCAAGGGACAGATAATTACCCAAAACTCTCCACTTATTCGAAGCATGGTTAAAGATTTGCTGATGGAAAAGGTCTTTCCTGTGAGATTTCCAGCATTTCCTGGTTTCAGCCAAGAAAGGAATAGTGGAAGAAGTGCCTCTCACTCTATTTTGATACTTCTGATCCCTGAAGAAGGGATTCAGCGGCATGATGTGTGTTGAAAGTAAACTAAGAAAATTCTAATTGCTCTTTCATGTGGGTCCATTTGATTCCGTGTTCTGGCTGCAATTTTAAATCATGTTTTTGTGGATTAATTCTGGGGAATCGTTTCACTCTTCCCCAGGAGGACCAAAGATTTCAGGTCTAAATAACCAAAGATAAACCTGTTTATCATTCTTTCCCTCTTCTGAGTTCATGCACCCAAATGCTCGATCTTTGTGTACAAGTACAATTTGGATAACCTCCTTAGATTACCTGGAATTCTTAGGCCTGATTATTAATTGGCTGAGAGCCCTCGGATGTCGTAAGAAACTGACCTTCCAATTCAATTCTTTAATCAGGAGAGAATTCCTTTAGTTAGCAACAGAAAATGCTGAAGTTTTTAAGGTGTTCTCACACTTCACAATTATGTGATTTGACATGGAAAGCTGCTTGCAGCCCATAACAGATGTGCAGAGGGTGTCCCTATAAAGATCTGCTTGATTTATTGGACAGACAGATACTATACAGCAGCAAAGCATTCCAGGTGCTCTTTGAGGTAGCTTTACTTTGGCAGAATGAAGTTGGCTGAGGTTCATTCCAAAGAAATGCTCGCCCTACCCTGGCACGTCGTGTGCCACATGGGGGATCCCAGGTGTTGCTCGGCCCGGCAGTGCTCCGTGCACCTTGAAACTTCCCTCTTGGAGCGACAAGCCCTGCTTTTCTTGGACAATATTTCAGAAGTGTTCCAGAGCCATCTAAAATTGGAAACCTCTGGAGAATGAGCTAATCCCTTGGTCAAGGAAATAGGAATATATTTGAAATTTAGTAAAACCTCGGAGACTTGCTGAAGTCACCTCATGCTAATCAGTCAGCAAGACTTCAGGGCGGGAACCAGGCTGGCACCAGGCACTCCCTGGTGAGAAGGGAGTGCAGTCCTTGCCTGCCATGGTAAAATTAGTGTTGCTTAAGGTAAATGAACTGCAAGGAACCATTCTGGAAAAAAAAAAAGAAGTTATTTTTAACTCACTTGCATAATGAAAATGTACAGGATTGCTTATTATATCTGCCATGAAATAAGTGTATTTTTGTCCTGAATTAGACCAGTCCAGTGTACTGGTGGTGACCAGTGACAAATGCCTCTGAAAAGTGTAGGAAATGCAACTGCAGGATCACAGGCAATAATCTACCCACAAGGGAATGTTTCCCTTCATTAGAGGCTGTTTATAATTTGCAATTATAGACTTGCATCTTTTCAAGCCTCTTTTCTTATCTCCACTTTAATCTAGAGGATGTTGCCAGCCTTGATGTAAACACTGGGGGATGCAAACATACCTGGGGGGAAGGGGGAAGCCTCACTTTGTGAGACATTATACCTGCCAAAAGATAATCCTTAGGCAAACTGATTATAATACAGGCAGCTGACAAAAGTAAAAGATGTGCTATGTAGTGTTCCAAAAGGAGCAATTTGATCAAATCTGTTCCTGCACCTACTGCAGACTGAAAAGCTTCTTGAGTTCTGGCCTAGTTTCCTAACCAAAAGTTCCTTGATGTTTTTTTTGGGACCCAGATAAAGAAGAATGTACCTGAAAAAAAGAGTATATCAGTATTCATTTTCAGTTTTACTCATTCCCCCAATTAAATGTGCAAGTGCAGTGCTGTTCCCTCCATTCTTCCAGCCTTCAACTGTCTGCAAGTTTTGGATGGCTTGGAGCTTGCCTTGTCCATACAAAACACAGAGCCAAGGCTATTTCAAAATGTGGTTGATGTAACCAGCATTTCCACCCCTCTGTAGCATGTATTAATGTGGGTGTCCTTTCCACAGGAGATGCTTCTTATGGGAATACACGTCTCTCTCCCTTTCCCTTTTATCACCAAAACCTGAGGAAGCTGCCACCTGGCAGAGTTGGAGTGTTCCTGCCTCCTTTTCCTGTGCTGCTGCTGCTCCCTGGTGTGAGGGAGAGGTCATGGTAGAAATCTATAATTCATTGGCCACGTAAGGTTTTCTTGTTCTCATGTTTGCTCTGCACTGACTGTGATAATGGCAGAGAAAATTAATACTGACTCGCTCTCATCTCTCTCCTTGGAACTGTGAGAATTTTTTAGCCCTCTATATGGAATTTTGTACAGACTTAAGAGACTTGTTCTGTGAAACCATCGCTGTTACTAAAAAAAAAAATAATCCTACTCTTCAGAGATCAAATCAAAAGTTAACCCATCTCTGCTGTCCTGCTTGGTTTGGATTTAGTGCTTCCAAAAGATAAACACTTCTACAATCTGTATGACTCTACGTGGGGTAATTCCCTGTGGCAGGAAGGTGATGTATTTCTTCAAATTAAGTTAGTTTTCAGCACTAAAAGCTAATCAGAAGTAATAATAGTAGAAGAAAGAGCTAAAAAACTGACACTTTCCACTCTAGCTCCAAAAAAGTCTTTCTGACTTTCAGGTCCTGACTTCTGACACATTATCAGATTCAGTAAATTAAGTTGATTATGTTGAGTCTGAGCTTCAGGGGAAAGGATTTTTGTTTGCTGGTTTCGATCAGAGATAGCTTTCAAATTAAAGAAAATTAAAAATAATAATAAAAAAAGAAAGAGCAAATAAATCCTTCGTGGTCAACTTCTAGGAAAAAAAAAACAACAAAGCTTTGCAAATAGCTGCCTTTGCTGATGCATTCGAGGTGCTGCCAGGCTTGAGCTGTCGCTGTTTGAAGGCTGATCGGGTTACAGATGGTAAGCAGGACAAGGCAGGTCTGACTTTCCAGGGATCTCTCCTCTGCACTGCCTTGGGAACATGGCAGGCACTGCACGCTGCGTCTGTCCGAGTAATCTGGCTGTCGTGGTGTGTCCTCTCCTTGCTTCCAGTGAAGCAGTGTTATTGTGAATTACAAAGCAAATTAATTGATGCTGAAGTGCCTTCTCGTGTCTTTTCTGTGAGCCCTTTGTGTCATGGGGTGTGGGGTTGATTTTCAGGCTTTTTCGAGGAGACCCTACTAAAGCATTAATGAGATATCACAAACTCTGCAACGGCTTCTGGGCTTTGACATTTATATTGGCTCCTGACACACTGCAGATAATGAGGGTTCTCTGCATCAGTTTACATTGTAGTGTCAGGTAATTCAGTCAACAAAGAAAGGGAACATATAAAAGCTCTTGGGCTCCCGTGATGGACTAAAATAGAAATTTAGCAGCTCTGTGGAACTGTGCCACCCTGGAGGTGCTGTGGGGATGGAGGAAGAAATGAGGACAGGGGGGATTTCCACATGCAAACCACATCACCCCTGTGGAGAAATGCAGACTTGGGGCACTTCCTCTCCTGTTCTCACTGCAGCCTTCCCTTGCTGGAAGGAGCTGGTGTGTCATTGCATTTTTTGCAAAAGTAAGGGGTCCCTCCTGAAAGGATAAATCAGAAAGTCAGGATGAAACACAGCAACCCAGGCAGGTGACATGTTTTAGAAGCAGCTGAAAATGAAATGAAAAACCCTTCAAACTTGTTGTTCTCCTCAAACAGCTTGTGTTGAATCTGTTCCTTACAAACACAATAGGAATTAAACTTTCCTTGTGTTACTGTAGGACAAACACTGCTCTGTGGAGGTGGATAGTTTACACTGGG